CCATCCAGCAGTGTCCACACTCCTCAGAAGCCTCCAACAGCACCATCTGGCAAAACCAACACCTTTCACTTACTTTTAACATTACCCAGCGGAGTCCAGACCTCTCATATGTCTCCCCCAGATCCATCAGGCAGAATCCAGACTCCTCATTTTTCTCCAACATCATCCAGAGGAATCCAGGGTCCTCACACATCTCCAACATCATGCAGCAAAATCCAGACTCCTCAGGTGCCTCCGGCAGCACCAGCTGGCAGAACCCCCACTCCACAGTTACCTCGAACATCACCCAGTGAGTTCCAGACCACTCACGTATCTCTAACATCATCCAGCAGAGTCCAGACCCCTCACATGTGTCCCGAAGATCCATCAGGCAAAATCCAGACTCCTCATTTTTCTCCAACGTCATCCAGAGGAATCCAGGGTCCTCATTCATCTCCAGCATCATCCAGTAGAATCCAAACTCCTCAGATGCATCCCACAGAACCATCCACCATAATCCAGAATCCACAAGTGGGGCCAGCAACACCATCTGCCAGTCTGCAGACTCCTCAGAAGACTCTGACATCTTTCAGCAGTTGCTTACCCACGGTAAGAGTTTTCTGTTCCCACACTATAATGACAGAGATTTACAAACTTGGAAGAGCTTCTCCCACATTTGTTCAGTTCAACTGCTCATTTTATTGAGTACATTTTTTTTTTTTTGTTTTAAAGATAGAGTGAGAGAGGGAGGGAGAGAGAGAGAGAGAGAGAATTTTTTTTAATATTTATTTTTTTATTCTCGGCGGACACAACATCTTTGTTTGTATGTGGTGCTGAGGATCGAACCCGGGCGCACGCATGCCAGGCGAGCGCGCTACCGCTTGAGCCACATCCCCAGCCCCTATTGAGTACATTTTGAGATCCTATCCTACATTTGAATTCTCATTCACATAGTACTCCACTTCATTGAAGTAATATATATGATTGTTAGCGAATGCCGCAGTCCGGCTGCAGCAAAATAACGGGGGGGGGGGGGGGGGGGGGGGAGACCGGGGGGGGGGGGGGGGCGGGGGGGGGGGGGGGGGGGGGGGGGGGGGGGGGGGGGGACAAGCAACTTGCGTAGATTGATACAGCAGGAGTGAGAGCCGTTTATTGTAGGACCAGAGCGATATTTATACATTCCACACAGCTTATCTTAATTAGCATAAACTAGATACATCAGTCAACCAATAAGGAATCTCCACACTTAATGGCTCGCTGGCGTTACTTCGCAAACCACTCCCCCTGGCAAAATGCCAGGCGCCATCCTGACTTGTTTACAGACTCTAACAAGTGAACACTTACCCTTCCGTCTTCCATAATGAGTTAAATTGGACACTAGTTTACGAATCTGTAAGGATAGTGCCGGTGAAATGACTACCTAAATCTTCTTATTTATTCCACCACCTAAATTATACTATTTATGCTAGTGTTGTCTAGAGTTCCCCCCAGTTCTGCCCAAGTACTGTTTTCTTGAGGATCAACCTTGAGAATCTTCTTGATGTTCCTTGAGAATCAACACTGAGTCAGCTCTCACTAGATAGTGACCCAAGATACCCTATCTTAACGGTGCCTGTTTTTGCTGTGTATTTCCTAAGTAGAATCCAAGATTGAAAACTGTACCTAAAGAAGCCTCTGAAGAATGTGGTCACCAGAAGGGCCCCAAAGAAGTAGTGGTGTTGAAAGTAACAGAACCATTTACTTATGAGTTCAAAGAAGGCGGGAAGAAGATGTTTCATGCTACAGTGGCCACTGAGAGCGAATTCTTCCGAGTGAAAGTTTTCGACATCAACTTGAAGGACAAATTCATCCCAAAGACAGTTATTGCCATATCCGATTACATTGGCCGCAACGGGTTCCTGGAGCTATACAGTGCTTCAACTGTGTCTCATGTGAGCGCAGACAGAAAGATGGAGATCTCAAAGACACTGATTAAAAATGCTAATGCAACTCCTAAAATTGAGTATCTTTGCTCAAGAAGCACAACAAAATACGTGAATGGGGTGTACATGGTGTATAAGGTAAGCCACAGCACTATTTCATAAAGTTTCTTCTGCAAGCCCAGATTTTAAGAGTCTTAACTTGTTGACGGGAGTCGACTCAATTTACTGAACAGAGGAAATCAAGGCCTGACTGATCAGGGATTGGGAAGTGGAGACTTCATCATCAGAGTATGGCACAGTAAGTTTCAGAACAGTTGTCTTTACAGGATCTCACCAGGATAGTTCTTCAGAAAGAGATTCACCAAGAATCTTTGGCATTTTAACAGCTATTCTGATACTTTCATAGCCACTCTGGTCTATAACACCCTACAGTTCATCTCAACACATGTATCCTTAGGATTTTGCTTGAGGTTTCCCCATCGGTATCAATGACAACTTAATTGTAAATAAAGAGTTGGCCTCCCAAATCTGGATCTGGTTGTGGTAAACATAGTAAGAAACCAAATAGATGACTCTGCCCCAGGATGTGGTGACATTTAACAATGACCTCAGATTCTGATCAGCTGGACTCTTGTCCCTTTAAAAGGCTCTCACCTTTTCCCATTCATTACTTTTCATTCAGAGATGGTTGAGCAGCTGACCTCTGCATTAAATCATAAGAGAAACATAGAAGCTGAAAGATCAGAGACCTATAGTCTCAATCAGAGACCCCTCAATTGGCAAAGAAGCTTGGTGAATTCTTAGACTTAGGGTCTTTCAGTCCTGATACACCGTGCAACTTAGTACCCTTAGCTGAGATAACTGCTTGTTGGAAGTGTGTCAATCTGCTATGTATGTCTTTGAGGATGGTCTATTTTTGTTGTTGTTCTCTTTGGTAGTGAAGAGAACAACAACTAAAATAGACCAGGGTTAATCAATCACTGAGCTACATTCCTAATCCTGTCTGTCTGTCTTTCAATCATCTATCTACTTAGACAGGGCCTCACCAAGTTGACTAGGCTGGCCTTGAACTTGTAACCCTCTGAGCTCAACCTCCAGAGCAGCTGGGATTACAGGCATGCACCACCATACCCAAATAAGGGCGACTTTTTCTTTTTCTTTTACCTGGGATGTTTTCTGTTTAAACAATAGTGCAAATATATGTGGCTGTAGAACTAATAAATATAGTGGAGATATGACCAGAAACATTGGGGCTAGATGATCTGGATTTAATATTTGGAGAAGAGCAAGTCAATGAAGAAGACAAACAATAAATTGTATATTGAGATAACAATCTACTTAATGAGGAAATGTAATAGTTTCCCTCAGCCTCACCCAGGGAGCCTTAAATGACCTTTCTTCTCTTTTCTTGTGGAGGTATCAAAGAAACCTATACAGGTAATCAGATTTTTATAGTGACTGTGCCTATGTGGAAACAGTGCAGATTAGGAAGATAAGGTTTTCTAGAAAAACCTTACAGATGTAGACATTAAATTAGGAAAGCCTGAGAGATGTTCGGTGGAAAATACCTTAAGTTTTTGTTACCTGTGATTCAGAAACTTCAGATCTATTTACCTTGTCAGAGATAAACGTTTTCATTTATAGCCTATATTTGTCAAATATGTAAGAATTCCTGATACATTTCTCAGAAGATGAATGTTAATAATCTTTTGCAGAAAAATGTGAGGGAAGATTGCACTTATTATGAGATACAAGATGATACAGGGAAGATGGAAGTGGTGGTGTATGGACGGCTGACCTACATCAACTGTGAAGAAGGAGATAAACTTAATCTCTTCTGTTTTGAATTGACCTTGAATGCAGATAAGTGGCAGCTGAGATCTGTTTTCCACAGTTACATCAAGGTGGGTGTTCTATGGAATATCATTCTTCCAAAACAAGTCTTTTTTTTTTTTTTTATGTTGTACTTTCAGGAAAATAAACTCTATGCTGTTAGAGTGTTCAACATGTGGGAAGAAAAACTAAGCTCTGCTGATTAGGACATATGAACATCATTTTTTAAAAGCTAATTCTATTTTTAAACGTAATAAATAAAGTAAATTCAGAGACACTTGAAAAATTCATTCTTCCCTAAGCTAAATAATGAAAATATGTTGAATTAACCAAAGTAAGGAAATAATTTAATGAAAGATTTGGGTTAGATTAAGGAAGATTTGTTTCAACTTCTGGCTCTGTGATTTTCGAATTGACTAAAGATTTTAAACACGAGGCACTTCTCTGTCACCATCTATAAAGTGGGGAAATATTTTCTAACATAACAGGTCATCAACAAAACCCCTAAGAGATCTAGGTTACCAGTGCTGCCCTGAGCAAATCAGAACACAAATACTTCCCTTTAGAGGAATGGTAGATGACAGTGTCTGTGCTCTTTGTCACACTGATGCACACATTCATGTGCAAGTCATGTAACACTGCAAAAGGCTGATGCTGGACAGCAAAGAAATAAAATAAAAAGGCTGACCTGTTCAAGCCACCGAAATGTACACATGACCTGTTCAAGCACATCTGCAGAGATCTCTCTGATCCTCAGGACCAACAGTCAAATATTCCTCCCACCAGTTGCACTAGGAAAGCCTTTTATAACTTCCTCCCTCCCTTCTGCCCAATGAAAACCTCCACTCAACTTTGCCTTGGGGTCCACCAGCTCTTCTCTCTTCTGCTGTTTCCTGATACCACCTGTGTTCATGTGGATAAAGTGACTAGCTGATTTTCTAGTCCTAAGCAAGTGGGAAAAGGTGACACCAACCACAGGAATGGTTACAGGAGATAAGTAGGAGTGAGAAAAGAGATGAGGTTCGTGGGGAGGAGACCCTGTGGGTGAAGAGAGAAATGTGTGACCAGCTGCATCTCAACTTCTTGCTTTCTTCTTCAAGGTAATCAAGGGCAACAAATCCAAGATATGTCCACTCAATCGTGATTCAAATATGGACACTTCACAAGAATCCTTCTTAAAGCCAGGATACCATTGATAACAGTGCTCATGGAGATGAGATCCAAGTACAGAAAAAAATATATGTATATATACTTGATATATATTACAAACAAAAACCAGCTTTAGTCTGTGGCTGTCACTCAGTGGTGCTGTGCTCCCCTAGCAAGCATAAAGCCCTGGGCTCAATACCCAGCAACACAAAAATAAATGAATAATAAATAAATTTAAAAACAAATATGATATTCATTGCTTCTAGAAAATGGGATTTAGAAGAGCCTTCTACTTTCTACTTGTCTGTATTTCTAAATTCCATATTTTACATAGATAATTTTTATATTTAAAAAAAATAATAATTTTTTCTAGAGCAATGCTAGGCTCTAGTCACAATTGAATAGGCTATGACCTGCTCAAAAAAAATAAAAAAGTTTGGTGTATGCGGCCTGGGGTATAATTGCAAATCCCTTTGTCCTGGAAGGGTGGATATCTGAGAATCTGTCTCCTAAAGGGGCCACAATCAGGTACATTGTCCATGTGGAGGTGTTTGTTGTCTGGTTATTTGCATGAACACACTAGTATGATAAAAGAATTTCTGCCCCTCCCTGATGTACTCCCTGTATCTGAAATATGCAGTTCCATTCATCTACCCAAGTACCAACAGATCTCCGTGGCTATCCCTCCACAATTCCTCCTCCTTACATTCCTGTGTGTGAATCCATCAGGAAGCTATCCAGGCACTTCTGCAGCAGGCAATCACTGAAGGGAACTGATTTTCTTTAGAGTAGAATAGCAGGAAGCAGATATCTGCAAAGAAATTTTACTCTTGTATTTTTATCGATCACATATTGATACCAGGTATTTTGTGATTGTTTTGTGTCCTTTAATCTTCCTATATGCCCTAAAAGGTGGATGGATAGTTTTCTCCATTTTACTCTGTGTAGTGTGTGGCAGACAAGCAACAGACAGGCGCACTCACTCTCCTAAGGACACTTGGATGGGAAAGTAGAGAGCTACATTAAGAATCCAGGGAGCAGTTCCAGTGTGGGGGAGGTGTGATGGGGAAGAATTGGAGCTGAGTTGGAAATTTGGAGAGCCTGGGGACATTTACCACAATATGGGTTCGAGACTACAGATGCCCTATTTGTGGCTCAGTGCCCAAGGAGTATTATTGTATTGTACTGTTTTGCCATAAAATGCCTCCTTTCTTTTTTTTCTTTTCTTATAGTTGACTCAGATGCTAATTAAACATTTTCTTGCCTATAACCACACCAATAATATATATATATATCACATACACACATATTGTTATACATTTATATATAAAGGTATAACAGTTCTATCACTGCAGATGTGCTTACGTGGTAATGTATTACATGGTATGGGTATGTATTTCTCATCTACTGTTAGAAAACTAAAGTTCAAAGATATTTAATGAAGTGTCAAAATCAGTTACTCGGCTAATTAGGAAGAGAGATCATCCTGGGATGGCAGCCTACTAAAACTTCCTCTGAATTCAAAGTTGACTTATGGACACTAAGGAAAAAGATTGTTTCGTACCCAACTGATATTGTATTCTGAGTTGTCCTGATACTCTGAAACTCTATGTAAACTTCCTACAATTTGCTATTCTTGAGTCTGTAGATGGTGGCAATTAAGAGTAAAGCATGACTTACAGGGGACTTGCCCAGTGGCCCTGCCCTGTTTTCTGTCATGTTGATTCCCCTTTGAACTTGTAAGAACTGGGTCTCCAACAGAGATAATCAAAAAAATCACATTCTACATAAGAGTTCGCTTCTTTGTTTTGTTTTCACTTAAAAAGCTTCATCTAGTTCCACAGTCCTACTCTAGCTTACATCCTTGGGTCATACCACATATCAGAGCTCCTCCTTGGAATTAAAATAAACTAAGAAAAGCCAAAATCCAGAGCTGCTGCTAGATTTGAAGCATGTGGCCAAAGAGGTCAGCTCAGCTCACAGAGATGCTAATCTGCAACTATAGACATCTGACAGATTGGGTGGTACCAAGTGGTTTTAAGCTGTCCAAGACAGAGAAGTGTCATTGTGAAGGTTTCTGGGGTATCCAAATATGATAGTGATGAAAAGAGTCCTGGTGAGCCACTGTAGACCCTTCACTACTATAACTCAGAAACTAGCATTAGCTGGGGAGGACTACTGCACCACAGGTCACCTGTGGAAAAACCAAAACCAGAACTCTAGCACTCACAGAGAGCCATTGGGAGCTTCACTGGTCTGAATATGATCCAACTGAAGGGAACAAGTGCACAGTGACCCACAAGGAATTCGGGGACACTCCAAAGCCTGCATACTGAACTACTGCAATCAATAGAAGCACCCAACTCACAACATTGAACCCTCTGATCAGTCAGATGCAGGCCCCTGAGCTGACAATTCAAAAATTCCTGGTAGTTTGGCTCCTGTGCCCCTGCAACTCAGGAAAGATCCACAGGCAAGATTCTTTAGTCCGTGACCAGCACAGGCAGTATGAATGGTATGAATGGATAGGCCATGTGGGAAAATCCTAAGGGAGTTTAAATTAAAGACACAGACTCCAATTATCTTTAAACCAGCTCCAGATGGCTCCTCGAACCCCAGCCTCAAGCTACCCAGGGAAGTAGCGAGGTTTACTGAAGAGGCTAGCGAGAGCAAGAGAGCAGGCCAAGGAGAGGGCTTTTATTGGGGAACAAAAAATTCTGGGAAAATCCCATCCAATGAAGGTCAAGGGGAGGCAGTGTGAGATGACTGGATCTTCGAGGGCAGTGGTGAGGCACGCCTCCACACGGACAAGCCCTCGGACCCAAGAAGGGTGGGGAAAGCTCTAACACCTAGTGTCTGAGCACCTCACACCCAGCAGGGGAGGTAACTCAATCACATGCAAGGATGGCCTCCCACAAGATTCAACAAGATTTTCTCCATCTGGACATGGTATACTATGAACAACTCTAATGTCAAATCTGATCATATAAATAACTGCTTCACTTGAATGATAATTCTTTTTTTTTTTTTTTACAGATTGAAACTTTGCTTTTAATTTTGCTGTTTTTTCTTTGAAAATCTATAATAAGGAAATGAATTATATAAAATATGGTTGAAATGTTATATACTACAAATCCTGTGAAGTTTAAAAGAAACAAAACCTTGAAATAAAAAGTCTATGCAAGTCCTTTGCCCATTTTTTAAAATTAGGTGATTTGTTTCATTTATTGAATTGTAGGAGTTCTTATTCTAGATTCTGATTCTATCTCATGTTTTCTGACACTTTGAGGGTTGTCTTTTCATTCCGTTGATGACATCCTTTGATGCACAAAAGTTTTTAATTTTGAGAACTCTGTTTATCTGTGTTTTGTTTCATTAGCAAGGGTTTTAGTATCATGTTAGGGATCATTGCCAAATTGATTTTAGATTCTTTTTTTTTTTTTTTTTTAATTTTTTTTTTATTGGTTGTTAAAAACATTATAAAGCTCTTGACATATCATATTTCATACATTAGATTCAAGTTGGTTATGAACTCCCAATTTTACCCCAAATACAGATTGCAGAATCACATCAGTTACACACCCACGTTTTTACATATTGCCATACTAGTGACTGTTGCATTCTGCTACCTTTCCTATCCTCTACCATCCCCCCTCCCTCCCCTCCCATCTTCTCTCTCTACCCCATCCACTGTAATTCGTATCTCTCCTTGTTTATTTTCCCATTCCCCTCACAACCTCTTATATGTAATTTTGTAAATGCTCACCATCTCTAGCAGTCAGAGAAATGCAAATCAAAACCACCCTAAGATACCATCTCACTCCAGTAAGATTGGCAGCCACTATGAAGTCAAACAACAACAAGTGCTGGAGAGGATGTGGGGAAAAGGGTACTCTTGTACATTGCTGGTGGGACTGCAAACTGGTGCGGCCAATCTGGAAATCAGTATGGAGATTCCTGGGAAAGCTGGGAATGGAACCACCATTTGACCCAGCTATTGCCCTTCTTGGACTTTTCCCCGAAGACCTTAAAAGAGCGTACTACAGGGATACTGCTACATCGATGTTCATAGCAGCACAATTCACAATTGCTAGACTGTGGAACCAACCCAGATGCCCTTCAATAGATGAATGGATAAAAAAAAAAAATGTGGCATTTATACACCATGGAGTATTACGCAGCACTAAAAAATGACAAAATCATAGAATTTGCAGGGAAATGGATGGCACTAGAGCAGATTATGCTTAGTGAAGCTAGCCAATCCCTAAAAAACAAATACCAAATGTCTTCTTTGATATAATGAGAGCAACTAAGAACAGAGCAGGGAGGAAGAGCAGGAAGAAAAGATTAACATTAAACAGATAGATGAGGTGGGATGGAAAGGGAGAGAAAAGGGAAATTGCATGGTAATGGAGGGAGACCCTCATTGTTATACAAAATTACATTGAATGATAATTCTTAATGCAATAGCCAACACTGTACCTTCAACGCATTTCTATTTCAAGGAATGAAATTGAAGAAGCCATCAAGTCTACTAAAAAAAAAAAAAAAAAAAAAAAAAAGCCCAAGAACAGATTATATTTTTTAGCCAAATTCAAACAGACACTTAAGAAAGAACTAATACAAATCCTCCTCAAATTATTCCTTGAACTAGAAAAGGAGGGAACTATTCCAAAATCATTCAATGAAGCGAGTGTTGTCCTGATACCAAAACCAGACAAAGACACATCAAGGAAAAAAACCTTCAGAAATACCCTTGATGAACACACAGGCAATAATTCTTAATAAAATAACTGGCAAACACATAAAATAACACATTAAAAAGGTAATGCTTCATAACCAAAGAGTGTTCATCCCAGGAATGCAAGGTCCATTCAACACATGAAAATCAATAGAGAACATAAAGAGTCTTAAAGACAAGAATCTCATGATTTTCTCAATAAACGCAGAAAAGGCATTTGAAAAAATACAGCACCAATGCATGTTTAAAAGACTAGAAAAACTATCCCTAGTTTTTCTAGTCACATACCTCAACATTGTAAAGGCTGTGTACAACAAATCCAAGCCCAACATCATTCTGTAAGGAGAAAAAATAAATCATTCCATCTAAAAACATGCAGAAACCAGACAGGGATGCCCACTGTCGTTACTCCAATTTAACATAGTCCTGAAAAATCTAGCCTGAGCAATTGAGCAAGAGAAGGAAATTAAAGGGATATGAATAGAAAGCTGAGCTAGAACTATCTCTGTTTACTGATAACCTGATCCTATAATATTTAGAAGACCCAAAAACCTCCACCAGAAAACATCTAGAACTTATAAATGAATTCAGCAAAGCAGCAGGATACAAAGATCAATACCCATAAATCAATCACATTCCTCTACTCCAAAAATGAATCTGCTGAAAAATCAGGAAAACTATTCCATTCACAATACTCCAATAAAAAAATAAAATATTTGGGAATCAATCTATCAAAAGAGGTGAAGGACCACTACAATGAAAACTACAGAACACTGAAGAGATTCAGAGAAGAACTTAGAAGATGGAAAGACCTCCCATGTTCTTGGGTAGGCAGAATTAATATTGTCAACATGACCCTACTATCCAAAGTGCCGTGTAGATTCAATGCAATTCTCATCAAAAGTGCAATGACATTCTTCACAGAAATAAAAAATAATGTCATGAAATTCATTTGAAAAAATATGAGGCCCAGGAAGATTCAAGAATCCTTAGTAAAAAAAAAAAGTGAAGCAGGAAGCATCACAACACCAGACTTCAAATTAAACTACAAAGCTATGGTAACAAAAACAGCATGGTACTAGCTTCAAAATAGGTGTGAAAATAGATGGAATAAAATGGAAGACACAGAGACAATTCCATATAATACAGTTATCTCACATTAGACCAAGGTGCCAAAACCATATGTTGGAAAAAAAAAAGTCTCTGTAATAAATAGTGCTGGGAAAACTGAAAATCCATATGGAGTAGAATGAAAGTGAACCCATATCTATCACCCTGCACAAAACTCACCTTAAAGTGGATTCAAGACTTAGGAATTAGAACAGAAACCCCGCACCTGTGAGAAGAAATAGTAGGATGACACTCCAACATGTTGGCTCAGGAACTGACTTCCTTAAGACTCCCAAAGAGCAAGAAACAAAATAAAAAATCCACAAATGGGATGAAAACAAATTAAAAAGCTTCTTCTCAGCAAAGTAAACAACTAACAGCACAAAGAGTAAGCCTACAGAATGGGAGAAAATCTTTGACAACTGTTCCTGGGATACGACATTAATTTCCAGGATATAAAAAGATCTCAAAAAATGTAATATCCAGAAAACCCCCAAATAACCCAATCAATAAATGAGCAAAGAAACAGACACTTCTCAAAAGAGGAAGTATGAATGTCAACAAATATAAGAAAAAATGTTCAACACCTCTAACAATTAGGGAAATGCAAATAAAACCACACTGAGATTCCATCTCACTCCAGACAGAATGGCAATTATCAAGAATAAATGTTGGTTATGTTGTGGGGAAAAAGGTACATTCACATTGTTGGTAGGACTGCAAACTGGTGCAGCCACTCTGGAAAGCAGTATAAAATTTCCTCAAAAAAAAAAAAAATCAGGAATGCAACTATCATTTGACCCAGCTATTCCACCCTTTGGTCTATACCCAAAGGATCTAAAATCAGCATACTACAGCGACACAGCCACATCAAAGTTGATAGCAACACAATTCACAATAACTAAGCTATGGAGCCAAACTAGGTGTCCTTCAACAGATAAATGGATGAAGATATTTTATTATATAGACACAAGGGAGTATTTCTCATCCATAAAGAAAAATGACTTTATGACATTTGCCAGTAAATGGATGGATCTGAGGACTATTGTGCTAAGTGAAATTAGCCAATCCCAAATAAACAGGAGTTGAATGTTTTCTGTGATACGGAGAAGCTAGTCTACAATAAGAGGGTGGAAGGTGGAATAAAAAATAGAAGTCCAGTGGATGAGACGATAGGGAAAGAGGGGGATGGAAAAAGAGACAGGGGAATGAATCTGATATAACTTTCCATGTACAAATATCAATATATTATAGTAAATATCACCATTTTGTGCATCCATAGGAAATGTAAAAGAGAGAGAGAGAGAAAGAGAGAAAATAACTATGGGTAAATAGCAGAAAGATCAATAGAGGGAAGGGAACAGGCAATGGGGGCAAGGGGCGTGGAAGTATGAAATGCTGGAGAATGAATTAGAACAAGATATATCCCATTCTTGTATTATATATACACAATGGATTCTAATTGTGTATATATTCTAAATGGATTCTACTGTCATGTGTAACTAAAAAGAACCAATAAAATAAATAAATAAACACATAAATAGGAATTCAAGATCTGAACATTTTAATAACGGAAATTTACAACTTCACTTAGCTTGATAGCAAATTGAAGCTCACAGAAGAAAAATTTAAATTGTAATACTGTATACTCCAAAACGCAGAGAGAGAAACAGCTAAAGGTAAATGATCCAGTCTAATGGACCAATTAATTAAACAATAATAGCAAGAACTCTTGTGTGAGTAATATGAATCCCAGCCAGAGAAAAGAATAAAAATGGAAGAGAATAAGACATCTTAAAAGATACTGCAAATATTATTCATGCTTGAAAACATTGACTTACAGAAGAAAGGGAATCAACCAACTCTAAAAAGTCAAAATACAAAAAATAAATAAAGTATAATGAACTACTGGAATCCCAGTCAAATTGCTGCAAACAAAGACATAGAGTAAGTATTTAGAGTGGCCAGAATGGGATACTGTTGGAACATAAGATTCAGTAAACTTCACAAGGTTGAAATCTCACACAGTATGCTTTATGATCAACCAGAACTAAATTAATAACCAATAACAATGCTTAGGAAATCCCCAAATTCCAAAAATTTATATTATAAAATAACTCATAGACCAAATAAGAAATTTCTAGGGAAATTATAAAATATATTGAACAGAAGGTAACAGAACTTTATCTAAGGGTGTGGGATACCAGGAAAAGCAGTGTGTGGAGGAAAATAATGTTCATGCAAATCCTATTAGAAAGGAAAAAAGGGGACATCCCCAAATGCTGGCATCAAGACTCCTTAACAAATTTCCATCTTTAAATGTTAAATTAGGGGCTGGAGATGTGGCTCAAGCGGTAGCGCGCTCGCCTGGCATGCGTGCGGCCCGGGTTCGATCCTCAGCACCACATACAAACAAAGATGTTGTGTCCACCGAAAACTAAAAAATAAATATTAAAAAAATTCTCTCTCTCTCTCTCAAAAAAATACTTTAAAAAAGTGTTAAATTAAAAAGGAAAGCAAAGTAAACACTAAATGAAAAAAAGGATTAAATAAACAGATGTGAGTGAATTACCACAAATCAGACAAAATTAGAACAAATTAACAAAGACAGTTTCCACAAAAATTAATAATAAACCTTGACAAAGATTAATGGATATAATTTCAGTTGTGAAAAACAAAATGTCACTACAAATATTAAAACAACAAATAATATTTTGAAATAATATTTTGAGAAACTACACCAATAAATTTGAAAACTAAGATGAAATAAGAAAACCTCTTCTAAACTACAAGTTACAAAACACAATTACGAAAATGATCCCATGAACAATTTAAATATCTAAATAGTTCTGTGCCTGTTGAATAAAATTCATCCAATAAAGGAAAATATTTCCACAAAGGTAATTGTTTATCTAGGTGGTTTCATTAGTGACTCTATCAAAAAAATCTAAATGCCCTGTTTAAAGCATAAAAGAAAATAATATATAGCATTACCTTCATATCAAATTTAAATAAAATATTAGAAGAAAAGGAATGCCTAGCATTCCTCATGAAGACTAATGCAAAATACCTAACAATACACTAACAAATTAAACCCAGTCCTATGGAAGAAATGATCACACGGCTATATGAAGAAAATTAAATTGATGCAAAGACACAAGTTCAGCATTCAAAACTCAGTATAGACAGCAGAATAGGTTTTTTTGAAACATCAATTTGAATAATTGTCTACACACAAAATATGTTCCAAGTGGTAAGGTGAGAGATTACAGCCTCCAGGGATAGCACAGAAATAAGATTCACTGAAATGAATAGGAAGGGCTGTTTGGCTGTTTTAGATTTCCCTGCATCATTCATCCCTGTTCTCAGGCACCATAGTATGGAGAGAGAGAGATAGCCTTCACTTAGGGGAAGGAGAAGAACAGGAGCACTGGACTATATTTTATATAATGGGGTGACCAGCCCCCCACCAGGGTAGGTTTCTGCTCAGGGAGTGTGAGCAGCCTGGGAAATAAAAAGTCTGAAATAATTAGTAAGAAAGAGAGACAGAGCCAGAAATTAGATATAAAGCTAGTGACTGATGGGTCTTCTAGTCCTGATGGGAGCTGGAACTGAATAACTGAACAAAGGGCCCTGATTCTTCATTTAAGGGGGAGTTCATCAAGCAGGGATGAGGTTTCGGTGGGAGGCATCTTGCTTCTAGATGAGGTAGAGGTCTTGCAGTGAACAGGTTGATTGGCATTTTGGCAAGCCACACCCATCTCCAAGAGGCTGTATGGCTCCAGAGGGTCACCCATCTCCATCTCTGGTGCTGTGCTGAACTTGAGATGGAGCTAGGCAGGATGCCACATGGACCAGACATTCTCAAACCAGCGGGGTTACTGCTGGGAATTCTTGATACCAGGCTTTCCTGCCTAATGGCTTCAACATTGCTTTAGTTCATGCACAGTTCATGAATGGCTCCCCCAAATTTCAGACCTCAGTGCCAGGCCTGTCCAATCAAACCATACTGGCGACGAGCCCATAGCCACAGACTTCAGACCAGTACCCAGGGTTAAAACACTAGGCCCTGGACAGCCGCTGGCACTACCCGGGTCCCCACAGCACCAAGCTTCTGACCCAACCCAAAATGAAGCTGTCCCCTGAGCCATAGCCATCAAGACTGGCACAAATAGGGCCTCTGTTTATGTAGACTCTAGGCATTTTCAGTGCCAAGCCACAAAGATCAGCCCCAGTCTTTAAGCCCTCACCAAGTTTCAGACCAGTCCAGAGCCAGGTTGGCCCCACGGACACAGGCTTCAGACCCAAGCCAGCATCAGATTGGTACCCATAGCTTCAGGCACCATGCCTGCAGCCAGGCATAGCGGCTGGTCACTGCAGCCCATGGTCCAGCACACTCAGGACTCAGACCCACTCCAGAAGACACAGGGTCTGGACCCATTCCAGTAGACCCAGCACAGGATTGGTTCCCATAGGCCCAAGGAGGACCACATCTATGGACTGAATTCCAGGCCAGCCCCATGGTCCCAAAACCCAGGTAAGGCCTCCTAACTACTGGCACCAGATTTGCATCCAAACCTGGATTTCAGACAGCACAGATTGACACATGCTTCATGTCCACCCTGCACAATGCCCACCCATGACATCTGAAGGGTCTAGACCCACCCCAGTGGACTCAGGCACTAAGCTGGCCCTTGCATGCTGATCCTCTAGTACCACTTCTACACAGCCACACTCAGGGTTATCCCCTGTGGACCCAGGACCCACATTTGCCCCTGTGGTCTCAAGCTTCGTGCCCAGCTTGGCATTAGGCCAGCCTCCAAGAACTCAGGTTCCAGGCTGATCCAAGTAGATTCAGGCACAGAACCAACAGTGAGCTTTCTATTGTTGGCCACTGCCTAAGGCTTAGGAAAAATACATATTGGTTTATCTAGTAAACTCCTAAGTGTAGAGTATGAACTTGAAAGCATTTTTTCTGACTTTTTTAAAAATTAGGTTATTAAGTTGTGTGTTATCTGCTGGAAGAAACATCAGAGGGCACACACCACAAACTTTGTTTTCGTATAAAAAGTAAAGAAGATTTAGGAGTCATGATCATGTTTGTCTTTTGTGAATTCTGGACTAGGATGCTCTCTGACCTCTATCTTCTGCCTCTCTACCTTGGTAAGATCAGCTCAATGCATCACAGAAGCAGCAAAAGCAAATCTGTAATAAACTACCATGAAATTCAGAAGTCATGGAAGTCAGACACTAGCAATGTTCTCCCTGATTTGCCCTATATTTTCTATTTGTGGATTGACTCACTTTGGGGACATTTCAAGTTCAGTTTTCCAGAGTAAGAGCCAATATCTTTGACAGTTTAAAAAAAATGTCCCCTCCCCCAAAAAATTATATATCAGGTATTTGAGCCTTTGGAACCTTAATGCTCTTCCAGAATTTAAAGGCCTCACTCCTGTAGTGCTGAGTCCATGACTCACTTGTGGTTCTTGTCTTTAATTCACAGAGGCAAGGAAATTAATTATTGAAATCATGGATCCGAGTCACAGGTAAGAGCAACTAGGGCAAAATTCATTTACAGGTTTTCCAAGAAGGATTCACAAAATGATTTTGAGTTCATACCCTATTATGTCAGCTAGCAATAACTTTAAAGTGTCACGTACTATGGAAATTACCTGAAACGCTGATCTCCTTCTATTCAGGAGGTGCAGTAAAGAATTGGTAATAATTGGTAATAATAGATGCTTCAACCAATATCCGTCTCTCCACTGGCACTCTGGGAAGAGCAAAGGAGGAAGTCATTGAGCGACTCACCTTTCCCATTTGACACTCTCATACGGGGCTTTGGTGTCTAGGGCCCCATCTGCTAAACAAGAAGCTGCTAATGATAGAACTTCTATCACTCTTCAACACAATAAAAAGAACAAGAGGATAACTCCACCACCATTCTTCATTATCAGTAAGATATTTATGAGAAGAAACTCTAGTTTCCCTGCCTAATGAAATAGAAAGCTTTGAAACTCAATGGGAGGATTCTCAAAATTGCCACATAACTTCTCTTTCACTGGGAGGAGGGCAGATGAGGGAGAGAACTGTCTAAGGACATCATGAAACAGCTGACACTAATCAAAGATTCAAATGATCTAAACTTGTGCTGTTTTCTTTTTCTTTTTTCAAACGATTTCATTTTCTTAACCTTGCACAACATCTTGCAGTTCAGTCTCTGGAGAGGATTACTAATATGTCTTCCTGCGCTTCTAAGACAAGCAGTGATTTCTGCAGTTCCCATGCAGATCTCAAATCTACAGTACTGTGGATGAAGTTCCAGTGCATAAATATCTTTAAGGTTGTCTGTAGAGAAAGTTCTGGGGATCTAGTTAGTAATCACAAGCTCTTGGGCATTTTCTCTTAACATTCTTTCCTCCGATCCCTCTTTTGCTCCATTTTCTACAACTTAAAGCCTAGAGTCCAACTTTTCCTTTCACAACTCTTCCTAGGCATTAGCAACTTTCTCTCATACCATGTTCTGCTGCAACTTCTATGATCCTGGGACCCTGGAGAGAAAAGAAAATGTAATTCAGCAAGCCTGATCTACAGTTTTAAATGCTGTCTACTCATGTTGAAGTTCTTGTTCTTGAATGAGAATACCCTGGGACTACTCAAAATTAAGGAACTTGAGGAAGTTGAGCAGCACATGTTTTTCTCACTCCTTGTAACAGTACTGCTTCTTGGGAACAGGCATAATGAGTTGGGCTCCCAAAGTAGCCCAGTGTACAACAGTTATAACTGAAAATATTGTGTGTTTGTGGCTTGGGGTGGTCACCAGTGTCCATCTTCATGCTATTCAAGATTTTTCTTGCTATTTTTATTCTCATTGGTCCTTTAACTTCTTGGAAGTATATTTTCATTTATGACTTATTATCTAAACAGCAAATAGTATTTAAAGGTTGGCATTCTTCACAATACAAGTTACATAAGGTAAATGCTCACAATTTTGTTCAACTTTCTCTCCTAACCCCCGAATTTGTTCTTTCTACTTGTTTCTTTATATTTAGTGCCTTATACGTGTACATAAAGATGGCATGAAGAAAGAGCCTACAGAAAAGAAGAAAATCCCCACCAGCCATTCCTCTGACAGGGAATCAATACGTAGAACATACAAAGAACACAAAAAGTTCAACACCAAAAAAACAAAACAAAATTTTAAAAAACCCCAAATAACCCAATTAATAACTGGGCAAAAGGACCACACACTTCTTAATAGTTTTTTTTTTTTTTTTTTTTACCCCGGGTTTAAATCCAAGGACACCCAACCTCAAAACAAAATTCCCACCCCCCCCCCATTTTTTTTTTTACTTAGAGACAGGGTCTCACTGATTTGCTTAGTACCTCACTGAATTGTTGAGGCTGGGTTTGAATTGTTGAGCAGTGCTCTTGGCTCAGCCTCCCAAGCTGCTGAGATTACAGATGTGTGCCACCACTCCCGGCGGCTAGTTGTTTGGTTTTGGGGTTTGTTTTTTTGTTTTTTGGTATTAGGGTTTGAACTCAGGAACACTTGACCACTGAGCCACATCCCCAGCCCTATTTTGTATTTTATTTAGAGACAGAGTCCTACTGAGTTGCTTAGCACCTCTGTGTTGCTGAGGTTGACTTTGAACCTGTGATCCTCCTACCTCCACCTCCCTAGCCGCTGAGATTACAGGCATGAACCACCACTCCCAGACTTAATAGTGTTTTAAATGGAGGAAAAATTATAAACAAAACAGCTAAATAACTACTTTTCTAATACTACAGTCATGTGTCACTTAGCAATGGGGATATATACCCTGAGAAATTAGTTATTTGGTGATTTCATCATTATGAAAACATCATAGGATATATTTACACACACTAAAATGGCCATAATGTCACTAGGCAACATAGTCTCACGGGACTACCATCATATATGTGGTCCATCATTGAACCTTTGTTATGCAAGCACATGACTATACTTGTATTAGTTTTCAATTGCAATATAAAATATCACAAATAGAGCAGTTTAAAACAACAGAAGTGCATGATTTCAGTTTCCTTAAGTCAGAAATCTAGACATGGGTCCACTTAGTAACTCACCAGACTGATATCAAGGTATCCACTTGGACTACACTGATCTGAAGTTTGGATTTCTCTTCCAAGTTCATTCAGGTTGTTGGCAGAAGTCCATTCCTTGCTGACTGTAAACCAGGGGTCTCTCTCAGCTCATATGGACCAACCTCACGTCCAGCATGGGGCTCTCTGACAACATGACAGCTTATATCTTCAGAGCCAGTGGCTATGGTAGAGGTGCTGGTAGCCCAACCTAATCATGGTAGTGATATCTCATCATTTGCTTTGGTCCTTCCCACACTCAAGACGGGATCATAAAGGGCACATGTACTAGGAACGGGAGCCTCAGGGGCCATCAGAGAAGTGGGCCAACCATCCGACTGTTTCTTTTCAACAAATAGAATTAACATATGCTGTTTACACATGAAATATATCTGCATAGGAGGAGCTAAAACCAGTTTTGCCTCTAGAGAACAGAACTAGAGGACTAGGAAGAAAACAGGAATCTTTCTAGATCTTTGGACCTGTTTATATGATTTTAGCTTATTTATGCATGACCTCTTCAAATGAAGTCATTAATGAGAATGAGACCAGCTCTTCAATGCTTCCCCATTAAAGGAAGCACAAATGCACAACAGTCTTTTCTGGATGTATTACTGAAGGTTCAATGCATGGCCATGAGCCTGGCCTTTCCAGGTGAATGTGTGTTTGTGCCTACTAAGCACCAACCCTAGGCAAGCCAGTAAGTCTAACACCCACATTTTAAATCTTGACTTGCCTTCTTATGCATCACCTGGTGAACAAATACCAGAAACCAGGAATACCTGGACTAGTGCTTCCTGGGGGAAGTCTTTCCATAGGGCAGGAAATGGGACTAAGTGTTCTATTTCCATGCATCCTGCCAAGATGTCTCCCTGGTAGTTCATTAGGAAATGATTCATTTTGTGAGCTTGGCATTTGATTTTATTTGTTAAATATCAGGGGTTTTGCCATAATGATCATTCATATGAGAAGAAAATTATCTATATATTTATTCATATAGTTGAGGTATCATCTGTTTAAGCCCCACCACAACTTTTTCAATAATAACAAGCAACGTTTCCAACACACTGTGGATTCTAGCTATAAAATGTTGTCAGGGTAAGAACTAGATGACCTACTATTTCTTTGGATGTCAGGGCATGAACCCACAATCATAAGATTTAAATAATCAATACTGTCTACTCTAATAACAGTTACAGGGAGTATTTCAATTCTATAAAACTATTTCCACACTGCCATCATGTCAACTGACATCTTATATGACCAACTGCATAATCCCATTATATTTGCCTCCTCATATAGTCC